CCTGTGTCAGCGTAGCTGTTGTGGCCGGCCGCCAGCCGATCCTGGTGTCAGGACGTTAGCTGTGTTGCGCCACCAACCAGCCGATACCTTTGTCAGAGTACTGTGTTGCCGCCCCTCCTGCTCCTGTTGCCATAATGTACTGAGTCGGCGCGGCTATTATCCGTCTCTCTTACAGGCGTGCTCGGTTGTCAGTTATACCTTTTCCGTCTCTGAGAGACCATTTTGGCAGATCTGTCTCTAACTTGTGGCCACTGTATACATTTGAAGTCAATGTTACGCAGGTGACCTAAGAACGGCCAGTCGCGGCGACTGTTCGTAAAATCGCGCGTCTCGCAGGATGTTAGGGCTATAAGTATGGGCCGAGCCATGGCGCTGCTCTCTGGTGAAAATGCGATTTTCATCGCGAATGCCTCGCAGCAGAGCGGCTCGCGGCCGCGTCGGACGCGCTGAACAACCCGAGGCGTCTCAAATGCAAGACAGCCGTGCTCGCAATTAACCGCCAACACAACGTACCGGAATTTTTATCGCGAATACTCCGCGCAATGCGAGAGCGCTCCGAGGAAATACGGCGAAAATAAATGATGGCAGCACACGAATGCAAGTAATTCTAAAGTTCGCGCGAAGGGCGCTTGAGGCGACCACACGGAGCGTTCAGCTAGCGGCAATCAAATGGCTAGCAATATTCGAAGAGGATGGTATTACGTACTTGTACACTATGATGCACCTTTAAATTAGCCGTGAGCAACAATAATAAAGGCGATCGCTTCGCAGAGATGGAGTGGGTTCCGTGTGAATAATTGATGTAAAGAAGCGTAATTAGCATACAGGTACGTGACGGTACGATGAACGTGCCTTACAGAGGGGAACTGATGGGAGAAGCGGATCGTACATCGTATACAGCATGTACCTGTGCTTTATATGGCGCTTAGGCGTATTTTACTTACGTTTATATTCATTGTGTGTGTTTGTATTTCAGAGAGCCCGAGAGTAAGTGAAGAGAAGTGAGAGAAACGCGAGTGAGATTGAGAGTGAGAAAGAGAGAGAGAAAAGCGAAAGAGAGCAAGAGGAGAGAGAAGAGAGAGAGGAGAGCAAGAGAGAGAAGATGACGAGAAAGAGTAGAGAGAGAGAGAGAGAGAGCAGAGAGATGAGAGCGAGAGGAGAGAGAGAGAGAGAGAAATAGACAAGGGGGACGTAGGGAAAGAGTGGAGAGTGAACATACAATATCATTTGTGCCAGCAGAGGCAAAACATATAATATTAATACAAGTATCTAATTCTAGTCAGCGTGTGGAGCGTGAATTATATATGCGTTGCAAATGATTTTTCTCCATCTTTCGCTATTCCCATTTCTTCCTTTGTCAACTCTTGGTTTTTTCCTCTTATTCAATTGCTAGCCATTTTCCTACGATGCCCATGCCAAAAACGTCATGAACTATGCGCCAGCTGCGGCGGTTGAAATATTCCAACTACTTTAAAGATTAAGCCGTGAAGTATAACTTCTAATAGACTGGTAAATTTGTTCAAATTCCCACCGATACAACCTCACTAATCCGAACAAACTAGCCGACGCCGAAGCATACAGAACCCATACTGTGAATGACCATTCAATATTGACGCACGAAAACAACGCAGATATAAGACGCAGCAGCAATACTACCTTTCGTCCAAACTCGGTATTCGATTTCGCGTTTTCCTAGTTGGGGTAGCTAGCTATTATATACAGTATTGGATTGTCTTTGCAGAGGAAGTACCGTATGGAGCGATGTGTGACTTTGATAGTGGCTTTTGCGGTTGGACCGATAGCGCCGACGACGACTTTGACTGGACGAGGCACAACGGATCGACGCCAACGGATGCGACTGGTCCCGCCAACGACCACACAACGGGGAATGAAAGTGGTAAGCTGCCTACATTGTACCTGTTGTTGGGGTGCCTAGTGTATGTGGTACATGAGCGAATGTAGTGCATTGTTGTTGGGGTGGGGTGCCTAGTGTATACGTGGTATATGTGCGAATGTAGTGGCGTTGTGGGGTGGGTGCCTAGTGTACGGTAGACGTGGTACATGTGCGAATGTAGTGCGTTGTTGTTGGGGTGGGGTGTCTAGTGTACGTACGTGGTACATGTGCGAATGTAGTGCGTTGTTGTTGGGGTGGGGTGTCTAGTGTACGTACGTGGTACATGTGCGAATGTAGTGCGTTGTTGTTGGGGTGGGGTGTCTAGTGTACGTACGTGGTACATGTGCGAATGTAGTGCGTTGTTGTTGGGGTGGGGTGTCTAATGTACGTACGTGGTACATGTGCGAATGTAGTGCGTTGTTGTTGGGGTGGGGTGCCTAGTGTACGTACGTGGTACATGTGCGAATGTAGTGCGTTGTTGTTGGGGTGGGGTGTCTAGTGTACGTACGTGGTACATGTGCGAATGTAGTGCGTTGTTGTTGGGGTGGGGTGCCTAGTGTACGTACGTGGTACATGTGCGAATGTAGTGCGCTGTTGTTGGGGTGGGGTGTCTAGTGTACATGGTACATGTGCGAATGTAGTGCGTTGTTGGGGTGGGGTGCCTAGTGTACGTGGTACATGTGCGAATGTAGTGCGTTGTTGTTGGGTGGGTTGCCAAGTGAACGTACGTGGTACATGTGCGAATGTAGTGTGCTGGTGGAGTGTTGAGCAAGGTAGGTGTGATATGTGCTGGTGCTGCGTGCATGATGTATGGAAGGGTTCGCGTTGATGCAATCCCAAGAGGGTTTCTCGACTCTTTCAGGGGTTTTCAATATCATCCAGGAAGCTTTTCTCTTGGACATTAGCGCGTAATGGTGTTTACGGCAAATAGCTTCTCCGTATATGAAGTGAAAGTACTCTAAAATATTTATTCGAAATTTAATTCACAATATCGTTGAAAACAACGAGTTTTCTCTATTTTTATCCGTGTTAAAATATTTATGAAAATAGCACGTAGAAATATGCAACCAGATAACTGCTGATATGAGTTAGATAACGGGTTATTTACACCGAGATAAATCATTCACCATGTCTGTAATGGCTGATAATCATGTGATAGCATGCCACAAACGAGATTATGTAGCCGGATACTGCACCAACGTCTATCCTCCTCGAACTTGATATAATCATGTCGATACTCACAATTGAAAAATTACGTGCGAAATAAAATATAGCGCATAGCGCAAACAATCGCAATGACTGAAATGAGAAAACCACATGCACAATTTCATGAGTATTATAGAATTACCAAAGACGATACATAACTACGAATTGTGATTGTTATATTTTTGTTATTAAAATATATTTTCTCACGCGCACTGTGACACTCACACACACACGCCCTCGCACAGACGCACACGTGTACACATGCACACACGCACGCACGCACATAAATTAACGTATACATCTATACGCACACGCCCCCACTCGCGAACGCACGCACACACGGGCACACATTAACACGCACGCACACACCATATACCACGCAACACGAACACGCACACACGCACACACCCACATAAATTAACGTACACCTACGCACACGCACCCATGCACGGATACACATTAACACGCACTCACACACCATATAGGCCTATCACGCAACGCGAACACGCACGCACGCGCGCACGCGCGCAGACACGCGCGCACACACGCATAATATCATATATATTCAGCTGACCATATTCAACCCCGGTAAGAACGAACATCCAGCTGAAATTGAATTGAATTGAATTATTCGTTCCTATCATATCCAATCAAATTGAGCTTATTTCCATTTATTATTTTTAATTAAATTACTGCAGATATTACATTTTGCGAAACAAAACTTCAACAGTCAATTTATAATTTTACCGTATTATATGCAATACGGTAGCAACAGGTGAATTTTGACTATGAGTTAATAAATATTGCACATTAATTTTATGCATTACTTGTTTCAGGCTACTATTTGTACATAGAGGCATCTGATGGCCACCTAGAGATGGGCATGGCTGCAGTTTTGGAGAGCGTAGTATTTGACCCTCCGCCCGAGTATACTTATGATCCGCACTCACCCCTTTATCAGAGCTGCCAGGTGAGTGTAGGTAGTAGCTAGATCCACAAGGTTTGAACCTTGCAATGAAACTTGTATTTCGAAGTAATTAAAAACCAATTACCTATCGCTCCTCCCCTCTCGCTCTCTCTCTCTCTCTCTCTCTCTCTCTCTCTCTCTCTCTCTCTATCTCTCTCTCTCTCTCTCTCTCACACAC